CTGGTGAATGAAGCATGGAATAATCCTTTTCCTCAAGCAGCCTTAGAGAACCAAGAGTTTAATCGCTCGGATCATCGACCCCTATTAGTGGATACTAATTTTTATGGTCGGTCGACTAGTGGATCTAGTAACATGCATGAAGCTAATTTTAACACAACGGTTGAGGAAGCATGGACAGAAACTGGTGTTGATCCCAGGGTAACAAACATTTATGAGAGACTAAATAAAATGGATGATCACTTCCACGATTGGGATCAGCGGGTTCTAAAGAAACCTAAGAAGTGGATACGCAAGGCGCAAAGGGATTTGGAGAAAGTCATGGCAGGGCCAATGAACGATGATAACGTGGAGAAGAGAAAGGAACTTTCTGAACTAATTGAATACTTGTTGGAATTAGAAGAAATCTAAGTTATGCAGAGATCACGGGTAAACTGGTTGAAATATGGGGACCGTAACACTGGGTTCTTTCAAGCTTTTGCGTCGGCGAGAAGGAAGAAATACTTCGTGAAAAAACTGAAGGACGAGGGAAGTAATTGGCTACAAGGTACGCATCACCTAAATCCGCATATTTTGCACTACTTCTCTCACCTGTTCACCTTGGAGGTGCAGGACACAGAACCGAGTATTTTGCAGAAAGTACAACCCTAAGTGACCAGTCAGATGAACGATTGCCCCCTGGACCTGTGATGATGTGAAGAAGGCAGTACATAGCGTTGGTGATCTTCAAGCACCCGGCTCAGATGGACTACATACTATCTTCTTTATAAAATATTGCCATATTATTGGAGATGAAAATACACAAGAAGTGTTGTTTGCTATCAATTCTAGGAAGATATCGGCTGAGCGGAACGACACCACCATTGTGATGATCCCAAAAGCTGACACCGCAGAGCTGGTAACTCAAATTTGTCCTATAAGTCTTTGTAATGTTCTCCATAAAATCATCTCCAAGATGATAACATCATGTTTGAAGAATATCCCGCCAGAGATTATTTCAATCACACAAAGTGCCTTTGTACCTGGTTGGATGATTACAGACTACATCCTAATAGCTTATGAGTGTATTCATAAGATTAAAAATAAGAGATGGTAAAAATGGGCTTTGTGTTGTTAAATCAGACATGCACACAGCATACAACAGGGTGGAATGGTCCTTTCCACGTGACATGATGACCACCGTGGGATTCCATGAACATTGGATTGACATGATGACCACTCTAGGGCATACTACAACTTAGAATCGGGGCTCCAAAAGCGTTTTGAGCAACACGGAGCATATAAGATGTTCCAAGAGCTGAAAATGGTTTTCCAAGCTCATGCCCGGGTCGAGAGATATGAAGTCTCCGACAAGTTCTATAGTTGTAAGATGGAGGAAAATAGTTCTGTCAGCGAGCATATACTCAAGATGTCTGGGTTGCACAACCGCTTGTCTCTGCTAGGAGTTAATCTTCCAGATGACTCGGTCATTGACAGAATCCTCCAGTCGCTTCCACCTAGCTACAAGAGCTTTGTGATGAACTACAATATGCAAGGGATGGAGAAGTCCATTCCTGAGTTGTATTCGATGCTGAAATCATCGGAGGTGGAGATCAAAAAGGAACATCAAGTGTTGATGGTGACTAAGACCACTAGTTTCAAGAAAGGCCAGGGAAAGAAGAACTTCAAGAAGGACGGCAAGGGAGTTGCCGTGCCCGGTAAGTCAGTTACCTGGAAGAAGCCAAAGAATGGACCCAAGCATGAGACTGAGTGCTTTTATTATAAAGGAAATGGTCACTGGAAGCGGAACTGCCCCAAGTACTTAGCGGATAAGAAGGCCGGCAACACCAAAGGTACATATGATATACATGTCATTTATGTGTACCTTACCAGTGCTCGTACTAGCTCCTAGGTATTTGATAGCGGTGTGGTTGCTCACATTTGTAACTCAAAACAGGAGCGGTGGAATAAGCGAAGACTGGTGAAGGATGAGGTGACGATGCGTGTCGGGAATGGTTCCAAGGTCGAAGTGATCGCCGTCGGCACGCTACCTCTACATCTACCTTCGGGATTAGTTTTAAACCTCAATAATTGTTATTTAGTACCAGTTTTGAGCATGAACATTGTATCTGGATCTCGTTTAATGCGATATGGCTACTCATTTAAATCCGAGAATAATGGTTGTTCTATTTATATGAGAGATATGTTTTATGTTCATGCCCCGCTAGTCAATGGTTTATTTTTACTGAATCTCGAACGTGATGTTACACATATTCATAGTGTGAATGCCAAAAGATCTTAGGTTGATAATGATAGTCCCACATACTTGTGGCACTGCCGCCTTGGTCACATTGGTGTCAAACGCATGAACAAACTCCATGCAGATGGATTTTTGGAGTCTCTTGATTATGAATCATTTGACACGTGTGAACCATGCCTCATGGGCAGGATGACCAAGACTCCGTTCTCCGGAACAATGGAGCGAGCAACCAACTTGTTGGAAATAATACATACTGATGTATGCGGTCCAATGAGCGTTGAGGCTCGCGGTGGCTATCATTATGTTCTCACCCTCACTGATGACTTAAGTAGATATGGGTGTGTCTACTTAATGAAACACAAGTCTAAGACCTTTGAAAAGTTCAAGGAATTTCAGAGCGAGGTAGAAAATCAACGTGACAGGAAAATAAAGTTCTTACAATTAGACCGTGGAGGAGAATATTTGAGTCACGAATTTGGCATGCACTTAAGGAAATGTGGAATTGTTTCACAACTCACGACGCCTGGAACACCTCAGCGAAATGGTGTTT